CCCTCGTAAAATTTCACCTAGTCATTTGGTATTAACAAAAAAACTGCAGGCAGAAAATAAACAAATTCGAAAAATTCAATTAGTGATACGAAATCTGAAAAAATTCCAAACACAAAGTTCACATTACTATTAGCAATTCATAGTTTACATACAACAATGATATCATTGGTAAGCATTATTCAGATATTACTCGTTAATATGCATTAGAACTTTGTTCACAATTTGATTGATGATTGTGAATTCTGTTAACAGAAATATATTTGTTAACCATATAGCAGACATTATAAAGTAGCATTAACTACGACATGATTTAGTTACCATGCTCAAAGCAAACACGCATCGTATTACTTATGAAGATTATTTGACTAATTAATGTGGCACTTTCAGTAATGTTATACACAGTTTCTGTATATGTTCAGAAAGCCGGCAGACAAGGCTGCCAAAGTCAGTCGTTACTCATGTTTTTTTCTCAGATACGTTACATAATAATATGTCGATTCGGTCTAAAACGATTATACTTATAATGGATAGAACTATGGTAAGGAAAGACGACCAGACGCTGCTACGCATAGAAAACTATCAGAAGAGTGTTTAGCAATGACAAACTCGTTCGGTTTTAACTTCTGGCTGACCACGTCTCAGGATCATCACTACCCAACCAGGGTGGGAAGAAGTGATCTGTAGCTATAAATAAATCCCCAAAATCAGTAGCTCTGTAAGTCTTCAACATTGCATGCTGACCACATTAGTTTTAATGGACTCAACAAGCTGAAGGCGCTCGGTCAAGCATCCGCACCAGATCACGAGTTGGAACGCCGTGCTCAACATCCCCTGCAATCGCTAGCGAGTCTAGATCAGCCGATCCTCGATTTATTGATAACCTATCAAATATATTTTCGAATTTCCCCGCTTCTGTCTTTTGAATTCACTTGGTGGGTACGATTCATACTAGAAGTTGTTACCGGTTAAAACGTTATCAAACTCCAAATACCTGTGGCATCTTCAGAAATATTTATGGCTGTACATTAGCAATTTATATAATATTCATAAATAGTTTAACTCATAATTGCTTCAACCTACATTTTATGAACAACTAACAACATACATGTTCATCAACACCATAATCATAAAGGTGAATCAAATGAAAAAGGTTTTAGAGCTTACTTTTCATTAAAATTGCGGCCTATTTTTTACTTGATAAATGGTGAATTTTACTTACTTGAGTTTGTGTTGTTGCAAATAACCACATTAGACTGACTAAACATTCACCCAGTTTGTGAGCAACAACTACGACAAACTACTAGTAAACTGGAATAAAAGCTATGTAACAAGCACAAACATTACAAAAATTGACATGCGACGGATAAAATGCTGATGATGGCTTATAAATAACGACATCCAAAGTCCTCGACAACGTGTAACGTGCGCGCGATGACCCACAGTCTGACTTCTTCACCGTCCGGACTAAGCCTAATAATCCCATAAGACCATGTAAAGCAATGTACTGTCATTATGCAGTTCGCGATCCTCATTTCCATAAGAATCAAGGGCCGTATATTAAATTTGTATATTCGAGAAATGGTCAAAGAAAAGCGGGTCCTCATAGTCGATTAGACGTGGGAGATAAGTTGAATAGTGCCCTTCACAATTACTTCTTCGGCCTGTCGTGTGAAATGGTCCACACAGGTCAAGAAGTAAGTGTCCGTTTGAACCTGATATAGGTTCTGGTTGAAATGAGCCTGAAAAGTTGCGCGAGAGCCTAAGAAACGTCTGCTGTGCTTCATCGACTTCGGTTTTTCATCTTACACAAAAGCGTGCCCACTCCCTCACGTCTTTATGCAGACCAGACCAACGAAATCGTTCTATTATGAGCTCGATGGTTGACCAAACACCTGGATGAGATTATGACATTATGCAAGGTACTGAAGACGTTGCATCGATAATATTCCGGAACGATTGGATGATCTCTACCTGCAGATGTGTCACATAACAAAATTTCCTGGCCTATTCCCACCTGTTTGATCCGTAGTTTCACGGTTGTCGAAGATAACTCGTGCTGAAAATCAGTGTCTCCTCTTTGAAGCTGTGTGAGTTTAAGAAATTTGATCCCTTGGAAACTGTTCAAGTAAGTTGTACGAGACAAAGTGTCTGCAACAACATTGTTTGCCACACAAATTTGTTGTGTATCTAAAGCAAACTGTGAAATCCAGTCCAATAATCGAGACTCACGAACGAAGTACATGTCTGAAGATCAGCTTAGATCGGAGGTGAGAGGTGTGTGGGTGGTGAAAAGAGTGAATTGTCAGCCTTCTAAAAAGTGTAGAAGGTGCCGTACAGCCAAATAAGTGATAGTAGTTTGATATCGAAAGTTCAGTGTCTTGCAACTGCCTCGAGAAGAATGCCAAAGATTGTCAACTATTGTTCATTTATTGTTGTAAAAATCAACTGATTGCCGGGTCTGACTCATCTACGGTGACAGTAGTGGGTGCTTTGATGACTTGGTGTGCGAGCATAGTTGCCTAAGCGATAAGTTTCTAATAGTAAAGAATGCTCTTTTCCCTTTGTCGTCTAAATTGATGAATTTCGCAATTCCACGAAGCTGGTCGATTAAGGGTCTCATGAGAGATGTGCGGTTCCCTATGGACAATGGGAAAAGATTTACCAGGCCGTTGAACGTACGTAATTGCATGACTATAGTCAGTTCCGGATAATCCAGAAAGGCTGCCATTTTGCTTTGCAGAGGGCGGATGCTTTTAGCATCAATAGTGTGTCTGAAGAAATCTAGGATGTCGGTTCGTGTTTAAAATTTTTGAATGTTTACAGTAATCCCGTATTTCTGCAGTCGCTTGAAAACACGGTTCAAATTATGGACATGAGATTTTCTATCTGGACTTGCAATCATGCAGTCATCAACATACTTGTATAAGAAGTTGAGACCTCGAAAACGTCATAAATGAACCTCTTGAAAGTTTGCGCAGCATTTTTCGAGCCGATATGTGTAGAGTTCGAAGGATGTGATGGTAACAACTTCAGAGACATCGCCTCCATCCTTAGGAATTCAGTAATACGCTTTAACCAGATGGATTTTTAAGAAAACAGTTGCACTTTGCAAAGCAGCAGTCAGGTCACTGATGTGTAGCAACAGCCCAAAGGCTGTTCGGTGGCCGGAAATATCGCACTGAACTTGCACTTGAGGATTTCGGTTAAATGACTATAAAGTAAACGCATCTTTTGTCGCTTTTCGGTTGGTCGCTTGTAAGTTTAAGACCAGACCTTGTAGATGATCAATAATATTCTCGAGAAGAACACTTATTTCTGACTGTGTCGACATGATAGCGAACTTTTGTCATCGTGTCAGTGATGTATAACAGATATTTATGTTGTTGTAAGAAACTCTAGGGTTTCCTGAAATTGCTGGAAGACATACCATTCTTGTTGTGGTATCAACGCCAGTCAGTGGTAACTGCTTCTTATGGTCTAGAAAAAGAACCTTTTAGAAGCACGATTCTTTGGGTAGTTTTGAAGCATTTAATAATGTGATGAGTATTAAGATATGAGTGGAAGTATTACAGAGCTCTGCGAAATCCTGTGTCGTGTAACGCTTTTCGTTGACACAAAAATTCCTAGCATGGAGGACACTTGTAACCTCGAAATCCAACCAGCATGTGCAGTCAGTTCGTCTGCAGCGTTATTTTGCAGCTGCTGGGCAGCTTAGCTAAGAAGATGTATCTAAAGATCCCTAGTCAAAAGCCCATCGACCGATCATCTCCTGCACACGCATTAACATTTTTGTTGCTGAGCCGTGTTGAAGTTCTATACTGTGAAACATCTCATCTAATCTTTGTCGACCGTTTGGATTTCCATGCTTAAGGATTGCTTTTTTGAGGTGTCATGATGTTCAGAAACATCGATTGTAAACATACTAGGTGCCGCGATATATTAGAAGCTGTAATATACAAAGTTGCAGAAAAACTCGCAGATAGTAAAAAACTATAGCAAGTGGTGCAAACGAATTATACAGTAATATATCGGAGGACACATTTAAAGTTTATTGTTTAGAGAACCAGAACATGTCAGGCTAAACACCCAAAATGGAGTGACAATTCATTTTTCATTACATCATTAAAATTCAAACCACTCAAATCGGAAGATATGGATGGATGAGATTGAAGACATATTTGGGAGTTGTAGATTTGCTGAAAAACGTTTTATCTAAGTCGACCAGTAGTTTTGAAAGATTTATATCACGGCATACTTATTCGTGGTCTGGTGCGGATGCGTGACAGATCGCCTCCAGCTATTCTAGGTCCAATAAACTAATGAGATGAATACTGATGTCGAAGATTTACACAATTTTTTAGGGTATCTGTGTACAGCTTTATCAACCACGTTGGTTGAGTCAAACTATTTTTAAATAAATAGTTGGAGTGTCAATTTTCGCATACTTAAAACGTCAATGGACCTCAGTATAAGCTCCAGATGGCTTATGCACAATTTGCGAAGAATTAGTTGGGATTATTCATACGACTAGTTTCAGCTATGTATTCTGCAGTAGAAGCAGATTGATTTTTATCATAGTCCGGATAATTTCTGCCTTCTTATTACTTTATTTATAAAGTTAGCTGTGCTCCAGAGCGCACTTGAACACTCATTTAAGCTCAGTCATGAAGCATACCTGTGGTTGAGAATTCTAGGAATTTATGGGTAAAAGACACCTTTTCAGATGCCATTAAACCTTATTTTCATGAATATTCTGTTCTTGGAACTACCCTTCATCTAAAGTGCTTCATGTCACTTCCATCTTGTACTTTCAAAAATACTTGACCTATCCTTCGAGAACTAGAACGTCTCACACCAATTTACTAATAATTTGTTTACTTTAGAGTTTGATAAATACCTGTGTTTCCATCTGAAGCTACTTGTGTTAAGATATCATTGAACAAAGAATCGCGTTAAGTCAAACTTCTGTTCCACTCAACCTTTTAAGCTGTATATACATTATGGATTTGGGAGACACTTATGAAGAAAGTGATAAGTTAACGATTATGCCTCTGTAAGTATTTTACCCATTCTTGCTACAGCCAAATTTCTTTTCCCCTAAAAGTCTGCTAGTTTAATTGATAATGTCTTTGTACATACTAGTATGTACAAAGACACTACTACTATACATAGTAGTTGTTCAAGTCGTAGTTTTAACTATTTTAACCTTATTTCTGCAGGATGCCGAATTAATGTTCACGTGATTTTTGTGACTAGGGGCTAAAGACTCCAAATGATGTTGTTCAGACTATTCTTAATCACTCAAGTGCATCCACTATATTTTTTCCCTTATATTACAAGCTCCTCAGTTATCCTTATTGATCCACGAACTTGCACTTCTGAAGTTCTATCTTATACGCCAAGTTTTTCCTATTGCCAATGATGGTATTGGTACTTCTACGCTCATGCTTTTCTCACAATCTCATTTAGATGTACTGAATTTATGTGACCACCACCAACTATAAGTATACAGGTATTCCTTCATTAGGGAGATTACTTATACTAACAATCATTGCATCTGACGATCCCTCAGTTTTCCCTGTTGCATGCAAGATGCGAAAATTATTCCGGAGTTTACTACGTTTATTATAATAAGCGTAGTAAATTTCTAGGCCCAACTAATTATAACTAGTTGGACTTGGACGTGTTAAACGAGAAGTGCTCTGTAAGCAAAAACTTACGAATAAATAGATCTTTAGAAGGGAAGGGGTTCTTAGAAAATCGTGTTTTTGTACAAATTATCGAGCAACCTTGAGCATTAACCGTAGAAATTGTGAGACTTCGTCGATGAAAACAAAGACATTGAAAGTTTGAAGTAAACTTAACATTAATTTTGACAGAACGCAATCAAAACTGGGTTGATTCTTAGTTTTGTGCTACATTTACCGAAAAATTTGATGGGATCGTCCCAAAATTGATGAATTTTGTCTAAAAGTTTGGAGCTTAAAAACCTAGACCAATGCACGTGTCAGGTTTTGCTCTGTGTTTATTGAATTAGATAGCTCCACTTGTGTGAAGTAATAGCAGTAATGCGCAATATTTCATTGGTTTAACACGAGGATTGTTGATTTAAAACTGTTTACTTTCGATCTGCTTGGCAGTGGGACTGTTCTTGATGCTTCCACTTCTCCATGTCTAATATCTTACTTCATACCCCTTGCAGGCTTGAAGAAATATGGAGGTTTATCTGACTCATAGTCATATATAAAATTAATATTCCAGTCTCCTTAATATCCGAGGGCAATAAATCATTGCCCTTAGTTTCACATCTAAATCACTGGTAAACGTCCTATTTATTCCGTAACCAAGATATTTATCTAATACTGTCTTTCAGCGTGAAGTCATTAACGAATTTATTTTGTAAACAAAGTATACAGCATAAACTTGCAGTCCCATGGAGTATTTTTTGTGGCCTCCAAATGCCGTGGTACGGCCGAGAGTGATGAAAGTTAACTCTCCCTCTCGAAATGCTTTCACATGGCCACGTGCATACAACCACTACCAAGGAAGTCCTGCTCACTTCCTTCTCGCGGCGGGGGTATTTTTACGAAATTGAGAGAACGAAAAGCGAATGTCCGGCGCTTTAACCGGGTTGGTGGACACGGAGATTCCACCTAGGGAAGTTGGAAAACCCTGATTCCAAACCATTAGTGCACATGGGCTCCAGTATCCTGAAGTAATAAATAGCATATGAACCAGTCGTTGGTCACCGGCTACCATAGGACTGCATCTCCTGACGTTGCTTCACTGCCTTGTGGATTAGACCTTAAGATCAAAGGCTCCGGGTTTGGCTCCTAAGAAAGCCACCTGCTTCAATTCGGGCACATGGGTAGTATCCCAGCCCTCACACAAATCGAATGATTTATGTGGCGCATATCTGTTTTGTGCCTCCTTGTACCAATCTATTGTCTCTAGCTTCCCGTCGATAAGGAGTATGGCCGAGAAATTTCCAGCTACTCATCTGTCACCTGAATAAACCTTGTTTACCCTTCATATCTACTGGTGTCATTGCAATTTATCTTGTAATCGACTCATGACTTCTACACATGATATATTATGTGAACACTGTAGGCTAATGATATTTGACAGTTCTCTCTAGTTTGACTTGTTTGAACCATAGATCTCTTCATTAGAAAATTACAAACTCTCCATAAAAGCAGGGCTTAGTACTCGAGGTTATTGAACTTCCTTGGTGTCAAGTACGATTCGACAGGATCCTAATTGTTCGCATCACTATTTTTTTTACTCTTATTCAGAAAGTAAAGGCAAGAGTTCAGATGACTGTGTTGGCTAAATTTTTTAATAGACGTCTGAGCTAAATAACTTACTAGCTCACCGTAACATTAACATTTAAGTAAAATTAATGAGAAATAAGATTAATGTAATTGTTATTTATTGGACTCATTTAGAAAGGCTTCTGGTAAATTTCATTAGCCCTTACTTTATCCTCTAATTTACTATTTCAGTGGGGCTGGTCAAGAAGTTGGAAGGTCATGTATACTGTTAACATTTAAAGGGAAGAAGATAATTGTAAGGTGTTCCATTGTCTTTTATAAATATATGTTCACAGCTGGATTGTGGTATACATCCTGGCTTACGCAACAGAGAAAGCCTGCCATTCATTGATGCAATCCCGGATATCCAAACGACAGACCTTATTTTAATTAGTCAGTAAGTAACTTAATCTCAATGCAATATGCATAGCTTTCATCTTGATCACTGTGGAGGGCTTCCACATTTGCTTTTAAAGACTGGAGCTAAGTCAAAATGTTACATGACACACGCAACGAAAGCCATTTATCGTTATTTGCTTGCTGACTTTGTTCGTGTTAGGTGAGCTTCTAATACACTAAAGATATTCCACTGGTTAGCAATTCTGGTGGCCTACCGGATCAATTGTTGTACAGTGATCGAGACATAGTAGCTAGCTTAGACCATATTGATACCATAGATTTTCACCAAGAACTTGAAGTTAACGGGATAAAGTTTTCTGCCTATCATGCTGGACATGTGTTAGGTGCAGCGATGTTTCTAATAGAAATTGCTGGTGTAAAAGTTCGTCCTCCTTTACAGATAACTTTCATAGAGTCCATCTAGATTTTATATACTGGAGATTTCAGCCGACAAGAAGATAGACATTTAATGTGTGCTGAAATTCCGCCTATACGCCCAGACGTTCTGATAACCGAAGCTACTTATGGTATCCATATCCATGACAAACGAGAAGAAAGAGAAGCTAGGTTTACTAGCTTAGTTCACGATATTGTCACTCGTGGAGGGCGCTGTTTGATTCCAGCATTCGCACTTGGCAGAGCCCAAGAATTAATGTTGATTCTTGATGAATATTGGGACAATCATCCAGAACTGCACGACATACCCATTTATTATGCCAGTCAGCTCGCACGGAAATGTATGGCAGTTTACCAAACGTATATTTATGCCATGAACGAACGAATTCGCAACCAGTTAGCAAACAACAATCCATTCTGTTTCCGACACATATCCAATTTAAAGGTAGATGAGTAGTATCAAAGCATTTTATAATTAACACTTGTCTTGGTAGAGTATTGAACATTTTGACGATTCTGGTCCATGTGTGGTTATGGCCAGTCCTGGAATGATGCAATCTGGTCTTAGTCGAGAGTTATTTGAGAATTGGTGCACAGACAAACGTAATGGAGTAATTATTGCAGGCTATTGTGTCGAGGGTACTCTGGCGAAACAAATTTTATCTCTACCGACTGAAGTACCTACAATGTCAGGTCAAATGTTACCACTGAAATGTTCAGTAGATTATATTAGTTTCTCTGCTCATACTGACTATCAACAGACGAGTGCATTTATCAGAGAATTAAAACCAAGCTATGTCGTAAGTTATGTAATATGTTAATGCAAGTATTTCATCTTTTTTACGACTTTCCTTAAAATATGTGTAATTTTAATATTAGTCATTGAACATTATGCTATTTTTTATTTAGTGGTAAACTTATTGCTTGCTTTTTTGACAAATTATGATAACCTTTAACATTATTTCCAACTATTACAATGCTAGGAAATTAAATATGTGGTTATCAAGTTTCAGTTTTGAGACTGTCCTGATTAGTCTGACTTTGGTTGCTGACTCGCTTCACATTCAGTCTCACGACTATGAACTTCGTTAAATTCTCGTTCTTCATATAATAAGTAAATTCATAACACTTTACAGTACGTTTAGTATCCAAGTGGGTTTTACACTGAAATGGTTGTGTCAAAAATATCTAAATATATTTTGGATGAAAAAGTCGCTTTTGTTGTATTTTTATCTAGATGGCTTATAGGTGTTTATTTAAATTTTATAGATTAGTTAGTGAGGATTTTCAAACCATTGAAACAAATGATTTAAAATCCTGATTGACATATCTTAAAATCTACAACACCAACTCTATATGTTTCTGTATGTACTAGATACATTCTTTATCAGTTGAATGTAGAGTTGTCAGTTGGTGTTTGATGTACTCATTTTTTCAACTACGGATTCAAACTACCATTCCTTTACAAAAACTGAGGAAACCGGCTGACACTAATACTGTTCACAAAATAGGTATAATTCACAGTGAAGGTCATGGGTCGTTTCTAGTTTATCGAAATGTATAACTGTTTTTTTCATTTTTATGTTTATTCACTGTTGTTTTTATGTCGTACTTTTGTGTAGTAGTTTAAAATGCGAAGATTTAAGTAATGCAATGTCCCCCTAGGCCCTGCATTGTACTGGTCGTTTCTTTATTTCAGTGTCTTGAAACTTTCTCTTTTAGGTATTAGTACACGGAGAACAAAACGAAATGTTACGGTTATGTGGGGCTTTACAAAGGGAGTATGAAGATGATGAAACATGTAGACTGGAAATATTTACACCTAAAAACTGTGTCCCGGTTAATCTACGTTTTCGTGGTGAGAAAGTTGCTAAAATTTTGGGCAGTCTTGCCCATTGTGCTCCTAAAGAAGGTCAAACTATTTCAGGAGTACTTGTAAAGAAAAATTTCGCATATCATATTTTAACACCTGGTGAATTACCGAGTAAGTAATTTCATATTGTTTCTGTGTTAATGATCTCGTGAAAGTTAAAATTTGGAACGCATCTCGAAAGCCTCTACGGCTTTGATGTACATCCTACTGATAATATCAAGAGGTATTTACCACTCCCCTTTGAATAACCATTAACAGATAATTTATTTCTGTTTTCTCCTTGATTTATTGTTGGTGTATCATACTTTGGATATGGTTCATTAACTGACATACTTGACCTTCAGTTTTAAGTCTCAGTATGTATAATCTAATCTAGACAGCTAAATATTGCTGGTAGCTTTCACTTGAAAAGTGTGGTTTCGAATTTAGTACAGTAGTTTTATACGGTTTTTGAGATGTAGTTGAACACAGGAGTCAATGTCTAAATGATTGGATTAAAAAAGAAATGTTTCTTCGCTCAACTTGTATTTTTTTATTATATTTAGCATTAATTAGTGAATATGTTAGAGAAATAGTGTATCTCTTTGTGTCTACTATGTCATGTTTTCCCTATTTTTCCTTAGCATACACTGAACTAGCTACAACTGTAGTAAATCAAGTCATTTCTATTCCATTTACTGGTAGTGCTAATCTTTTGAAATTTCATTTGGCTTTACTTGCTGGTAGCGTGGAAACGGTATCTCAAAAATCAGATAATGTACAATATCGTGTATTTGATGCAATTAATATTACTTGGCGACCACAACAGATAACTATGGAAGTAAGTTATATATATAGTCAAAGTGAGTTGCAGTTTGTCAGGGATTGAAGATAGACACACTCAGGTTTATTAAATATAGCAGACCAGTTTTAAGATTTAGATTCAATTTATTAGACGAATCAAACTTCGCATAATAAGTTGCTTAGATATTCTGTACATAAATTTTTATGTTTTTTTTTGTAAAAAAAACTACATAGTAGTACTTCGTTGTTTAATTATGAATATTCATCCTTTACATTTCGATCTCAGTGGCAATCCAATCCTACAAGTGACATGTATGCGGATGCTGTACAGAATGTTATTTTACGTGCTGCTATGCAAGGAATGCCTCCTAGAGGTGAGTATTTTTACTATTTCTTTTGGGGTTTTTGGTACATGGGACTAATAGTATAATCTCTCGGCGTTGTATAATAAGGTTTATTTTAATTTGTGGCTTACATAACTGAATCTTAAAATCATTGATTTCAAAAGAAATCAAGTACATTTCATGTTTATCTTGAATTTCTTGTCGACTGTTTACTTAAAAGACGAATGAGTAGTAGAAACGAGACTGAAATTGAGGAACTGAGAAAACGAGATTACGTCTGAAAAGAAACATTTTCTCATTTTGCTAAAAGCTTCATGCTACCGATTATCACTCCACAGTAAACCGTGTTCAAAAAGCTCGTAGTTATCCAAATCAAAGAAATATATAGCCATAAATTTATGTTATATGGTTGAATATTCCAAGAATTTTCTTACTCTATTTAGATAACATTAAACATTAGGCTAATTAATGGGTTAAAAGTATACCATACTGATGAACTAGTCACATCTAAGATAGGGCCTTTTGAGTGTGTATCTTATTAAGGACTGTGTAAAATTGCCTTATATCTAGTTCCTAAAGTTGATAAAAATGTCTTCTGTGCAACCAGACTGTGAAGCTACAGGATCGTATTGGAAAGTGCCTTATGTGATTCAATTCATAGTCAAAAATATTTGTGTGAATGAAGGGTATTCTCCTGCTCTAATGCTGCTGACATTAATCTCAACACATAACCCTTAATATGAACTGTTAAGATATACCTTTTAACTAATTATCTTATTCTTTACTAATCACCGATTAATTTTTAAAATGATGTGGTTTCGTTGACTTATGTATTTATTGTTGTGGAAAGGACTGTGCAACTTTTCGAATGTTCCGTTCTTTTTTCAACAAAAATCATATCTTCCTTTTTTCTTTAACTGCACTTAGGTTTACCTCATCTTATTGAACCGAACAAAGAACAATTTCGATCTGCCCTCGAAGTAGCACTTCAAGATGCATTCGGTATTGACTGTTTAGAAGAAGAGATAATTAAGCCTGATGCTAATCATGTTATAGTGCATGTTGATTCTCATGTCGCTGAAGTGAATCTATGCGATTTAGTAAGAAATAATATAATCTTCCCATTTGTTTTGTAAGCTTATTCTAGTCATTTCTTAACTCTGTAATATTATATCTCACTGTTCACCATACGTTGTGTTACGTTAGTTAAACGATTTACCTATCGAAAACTCAGTCTATTGTGTACTAACTTACATTTTCCGTAGGCTGATTGGTGCGATTAGTTTAAAAACACTAACTCGGTTTAAATAGGATTTAGAATCTAAAGAAATATTGATACATATTCGTCAGTTCACACTTTGTGGTATCAGTGTAAATCATCTTTGCATTTCATATTGAATATATTACATTTAGTTAAATTTCACAGGTTGAAATCATGAGTCAATTGAAGCTAGACCACCATGGAAAACCTGGAAGCACTGGACGGCCGTTTCGTCCTAGTATGGGACTCCCCAGCAGTGCGTATCCACGAACCCGCTGCTGAGGAGTCCCATACTAGGACGAAACGGCCGTCCAGTGCTTCCAGGTTTTCCATGGTGGTCTAGCTTCAATTGACTCATGATTTCAACCTGTGAAATTTTCTAAAAATCTCCACAAAACTCATTTAGTTAAATGTATGTAAATCTAATTGTCCCATTATCTTCGACTGTTGTAGTTAATTCTTACTTGAGAATGACTGCTAGGTATTTTTACTGACTAGTGGCACCTAAATGTTTTCTCTTTGAAGTTCGTCTTAGTGATATTTAGTCATTCAACTGATTATGTACAGTTATCTAATAGATGATTTTCTTTCCTATATCAATGTTAACTGAAGAGTTATCCGAAAAACATTAGTGATAATGAAAACAATAAAGTTTTTTTATATTAAAACAATGTGCTTACTGCCCATTTCCAATTCTTATAAGCTTGAAGTAATCCGTAATGGTAGGAAATGCAAATATGAATATCAGTGAGAATTAATACATGGAATATTGTTAAAATGGATGTAATTTATTTCTATCGCAAATAAGTACTAACTAGGAAATATTGAAACCCAGAGAACACTGGGTAACTCTCTTGTTCTATTATGGGGTTCCTCAATAGTGAATACACACAAGAACCATTTGATTTAATGGTTTGTGGACGTATTCATCGCGCGAGCTAAAGGTTTTGGGTCCTATCTACGGTGGGGTCGTGGCTTTAGATCGTTGTGAAGTCCATACTCATACAGAATATTCGCCTGGTGCTCCTTCCTTTCCAATGGCTTCCCACTTGATGTCAGTATGTGACGAAAACTGACTTACGTATCTCTTTAGTCTTCTTAAACAAGCATAGATTTAATTGTATTTATGCTTTGGCATTCTTTTCGCTCCTCATTATGGTATATTTCAGTGTCAAATTTGGTTTGCAATAATTATTCACGAAAAAATATGCTTTTTGGTCATTTGTACAGCTTTTCTCTCATAAAACGTCTTCAAATTAAAAAATATCTGTGACGGGAATCATTTCCCTTCATCTACTTGTTATTGATCTGATAATTAACTAGTTGGTTAATAATATTTATCTTAAACATATGCTGTACATAAGATTTAAGCCTACGTTGTTTGATGAAGTCTCTGGAAACGCTAAAAATAGCACCCTCTAACACCAAGTTATGTGTATGACGTAGTCTTTCAACGAAAAACAGTAGTATTTTTGTCGATCTATTTCAAACCTGTTGTATGGCATTTATGTACATCACGATTACTGTAATCAGTTATTAATATTTATGATAGAACTCATTGTAATAGGATTTTCTTTTAATATTATATTGTAGTCCGTCTCGTGTAAAACTAATCCAAGATTGGAGCATATTCTTCAAGTTATGGTCAATCGATTAAACCACTGTATTTCAGCTATGTGAATATCACTGTGAATTAATTATTTTGTAAATTATAATCTTTTCCACAGAAACTTTTTCTTGTTACAATCATTTTTTTCAAGCCTTTATGCGTAGTCGGAAAATTCAGCTAATTAGAGGGCTAGTCTATGAATAAAATTAATCTGACATCTTTAGTGACTATAGTAATATGGCAATCTTATTCACATTTTTTAAAATGATTTAATTACAAATATCGCATGTGATCTGAAGCAACAAGTTTCAACAATGAAGACTAAGTGATAAGGTACTTTGTGGTTAAACCGAGTCACTCTAAAGTGTCAACACTTCTTACTGTATAGATTACTAACTACAATGATCGAGTAATGGAGCTTTCAGATCTCTGTTAGAGTCTGTCTGTGAGATGTTATTCTCACTAGATGTTTTTTTTATTTAGAACGTCGACTCACTTAGACGAAGTCTTTTGTTATGTATTTCCGATTGTATACTGAACCCAATCCCTAATTCTACAGTCACATACTTCTATAAAATACTGAAGCTACTAACCATATTTTAAATTGAAAACGTGCATAGTTTAAATAATCTGTATTGTGTAGATTAAATTCCAATGGAAACCTAAATTGGAATGTAACTTGTTAAGGAAGTTTCTCTTAAATGATCAATACCTGCTCATAGGTTCAGCATAGTGAAATATAATTTAGACAAGTGACAGCACAAATCCTATTTAATATAACTGACTATAAAATATTCATTAAAACAAGTGTGGGAATATCACCTGAAATTATTTTTATGATAGAAAAAAATGGAAGAACGCATTAACAGTTAAATTGATTGGACTTAAAATTAGCACTCCAGTAAGGTGAAAACTATAACCTTCATAATTATGTGAATATTAAGCAGTATAGTCTCTATAATGTTCAAGATGTGACAGCTGATCAAACGTACAACCCGGTGTTTCATTAATTACACGTTTGTCTTCATAACAAAGAATGAATTAAAAGCACCAACTTTCAAATAAATTCGAAAGCGGTTCATGATTTGTTTAAATGGGCTTCCTCCATTAAGGTAGAAAGGTGATGAAATAATTTCCTTGACAAGCGGATGATTTACTGGCAAAATATACTTTCCAAGGCTAAGGCACCACACTCGTAAATTATAGCTCTACAAATGTAAAGAAAATCCTTGTCTTGTGACAAGCGGGAAATCATTGAGTCTAAATTTACAACTTCGGTCAGTTTGCAGTGCATTGCCCTCCTCAGACAACAGTAGTTGTTTCGTTTTCTACCCGGTCAATTCACTGATCAGTCCTATGTAGCTATCTCTTATTTCGCAGAGACAATTTTATGTTTGTTTTCTCCACCAATACCCAGCGTAGGTTAATATGCTGTGAGAAAATTTCCAGTGTTTCGAGGTTACGGCAACAATTTAATTATCGTCAATGCATCCGAACACACTGCCGGACCTCGACATTAATTACGGTGCTGCCACCAAATGTGAGCAATCCTTGAGAGACAATGGTGATCACACATCCTCACCTGAAATATGCATTAGATTTATGTAACAGAACTGCTTTCCCTAACGCGTTGTATATTCGGACTTTTACATCATCAATGCTACAGATAATCCAGATTATGAGACTTTGCTGTGACTGACTCAGGTATGTCGACCTCAACTCACAAAACCACTAAATGTATGGACATTTCGACTAGTTAAAAAGGTCCACAATAACAGTTCGGTACGTAAGCTTGTGAAACAGTGTGGATTCTGAATGTGCCAAGTAAACATCGTACTTACGGGCACTAGTTCCTAAATGATTTGAGTGGCCTACCCGAAAACTATCAGGATTCACAAATCTATTTAGGCATACAAACTTTCTAGCGATCTAAGAATAGGTCCACTCAAATATTTCTACACCACTGTCGCAGACGTCTTCAACATTGGATTTAAATGAAATGTTTATGGACCCCAGTCAATTGATTATCTCCACATCATAATTGGTAGTGTTAAAACTGGATTTCATCATCTATTTTACTTAGGTGATAGTAGATAAAAGAAAAACTAATCAATCAACGATTTGCTTTTTATGCACACTTTACAAGACAGTAATGATATGAAGAAAACATTTAATAAGTTTACCCAAATAATTACATAATGCTAAATAATTGTACTTACAATTATATATATGTCAAGTTACAGAATCCTAATAGTTCCAGATGTGTATAGACTTACTCAGCCATGCCAAACAATTTATACACTGATAAGTAATAATGGCGTGTTTTTTTAACGACACGTTAAAAGAGATACAGAAAGAAAATAAGAAAAGACGGAAGAAAACATATTAAAATATAGGGAGCGAACAAATTATTGACTTTAATGTCAATGAGGAAACATAGAGACTGTTCGTTTATTAACCTAGAAATCATTTTGCTGAAAAAAGAAATAACAGAGTTAGGTAAATTCATACATACACTCCTTTCGGAATAAGAAACATTTGAAAGAGATTACGATACACGCGATAAAAAAGGAAAGTTCAAATAAAATCAATTTAATGAATGATTGATGGACGAGATGAGTAATGTTGCACAATCAGGAAAGAAAAAGATAAGGACAGCTGCAATGATAACTATGATGGAAGTAGTAATAATTAGTCTAAGATGCCCAATATAAATGCGTATGTTCCTACTTATCAATACATACAGAGGGTCAGATATATTTAGTGATCAATAAAACTGGATTCATCTGAAAAACGAAGTTAACAGAAAGGATATCGAGAGAAACAACAAGATTAAAGAGAAAGCTTTTTACTGGAATTCACTGTACATTTAAAAAACATATCTCAAATAATTCAAAATACTTTACGCTACTAAACGATGTAAAGCTCTTACCATGAGCCATGAGGCGAATGCTACACGATTATATTATAACCAAATCGTTTGACTATTTATTCTCTGAAGTGGCTTACACTGAGTCACGAAAAGTCGAAAAATCTAATTTTTCTACTTATTGGAATATTATATATGTTATATATATATATATATATATATATATATATATATATATATATATATACGACAAACACACTTGACATCAATTAATGGAGGTCAGTTGTGTCAAAATTGGTTCTACAAAGGGGAGTCTTCCTATTTTTCAACGACTGGTCTTCCACCAACTGGCCTAGGTATCACTGTCGAGAAAATCTTTTGGAAAGTTCCTAAGGTTACATTCAAATATATAAATATAATCCTTTCTTCTCAAAATAGAAAAGCTCTTCCACGAAAACATTTGATTGTTTTGTTTTCTTATAAACTCTTCAGTATTGATTGGAGTGTAATTAAATCATTGCTTCCTTGGTTTCGAGAATCAGTAAATGTCACCGCAAAAACACTCATTATCATTACAACGATAAAAGTCCTAATTACCAAAGATGCTTGTAAAAGACCACGATTTTCTAATCGCGATTCACACAAATATATGACTTCGACTAAATTAGTATCACAGTTTAAAAAAAAACGATTATACTCAGATCTACAGATTGCTCAAGTAATAAATCTATTAAAGGCTACTACAAAAATTGTCAGTAATTGCTTAGTTGGTTAAACTTTTGTTCGGTACCTAGAACATTGGAAGTACAGTAACTGTCACAACAAGTAAACTAACTTAAAATAAGACGTTTTTCCAACAACTCACCTGAGTGTATACATAATAAATTCACGAGCTAACATAAGAGTTTTATCATAATTTTTGGTTGTTACTAGAATGAGCAGAAGGTATACTCCCAATAATATTTTCTCTAGGATCCTCTTTTTGTGAAGACAAGCTCTGGTATTTAGATTGATGAGCAGGAGGAGGTTGTGGGGGAAAGAGGAGAGTTGATGCCGCACCTATTGTCGGATTTAAACTCAATCCCACTCTCCCAGTACTAGACAATGCGCGATGTTGTAGTTGGTCAATCTGTTGGCTAGATAGAGCGACAGCTGCAGACTGATGGGTAATTTGCTGGCTAAACTTATTAGAATCATGAGGAAAATTCGATGGGACGTTTGGTGCACACGGTTTTGGAAAACCATCATTAACAGAAACCATTGACTTTCCAAGTTCATTAACCTTTAGCTGAGCAGTGGGAGCTTGCTGTGAAGATTGACACTGGGGATATGATTGTCTGAAACAGTAATAAACACTTTTACATTCGTACCAGATCATTACATTTTACATTGCAATAAAAAGTAAATAGATTACTGTTATACTTCTCTCTGACGTTATAACCCAGCTATCCCTATTGCTCGATATCAATTCACTCGACAAGTCCCCAAATCAGAACATGGTTGAACAGGGAAGAGACTACATTCCAAATAACGAGGTTAGATGGAAGTAAGAAGCACAATAGGGAAAACGTTAGTATATTTATAATTTTTACATAAGAATATTTCTAGTGTTCTCCAAGTATCGACTAGCGCTGATTGGGTAAGAATTAGCCACTACATACATAGACTATAAAATGAATAACTTCATTAGTGTGCAATGGAAATGGTCTTTTAACAAGCGAATATCTTGAAACAATGAGTGTAGGTTAGTCATTGATAACCCAGTTCACCACATTCGTATTAGAACGATCGTCTTAATATGCTGAATTAAATCCATTAAAAGGCTAGCTGTTGTAAACACTTAACGACTTGAAATCAACTATAAAACGAAACATACTTTTTTATCAGCAGCATTGACCACCGATTCAGTCAAAATATCCATCTCAAAAAAGTAATTTGTAGGCTATGATATTATTTAGTTTAATTATTACCTAAGCAAAAGGTAAAAACGTAGAACAAATTCCACACTATAAATACATCACCGCATTATATGCTCTATGTTTAAAATCCATTATAGTTTACATCAATTCTTCTTATCTACATCTTATCATGTTGATCCCCTTTTCTGATGTACTTACGGGGCATGGTGACTTGAAGAAACGGGGAACTGTGCTGGACCCCACGTCGAAGACTGGTGTACATAAGTATTATTTTATCTTAGTTTCATATGACGATTATAAATAACATTCTCAACGATGTACTTTACCAAATCTGGTATGCGATATGCTCAAATTATCTGACGAATTTAATAAAATATACCTTTTCATAGCTACTGGATTGATCACTGTAGATTTGCCCAGTTCTGAGTTAAGCTGTACCGCCTTGGACACTAAAATAGTGGCTACAGGATTAGAAGAACTAGATGAGACAAGACGCAGAGGTATACCCGGGTTAGCCGTTCGACCTATAACAGCTTCATTCTGTAAAATAGGTGTTCGATTTAACTGTGAATTCTGAGATGTTGAAGTTGACACAGGAACTACTAATGAATTTGGAGATATAGATGCTGTGGTTGATTGCAGGACATAAGAGAAGCGGGAAGTTCCAGTATCCACGCAAACAGTTACTGGAGTCTTAGTATTGACAGTTTTC